AACAGATTTTCTAACTCGATCGTGTATAAATGCAGTTTGTCCGAGTCTGGCGGTGTTGCCGTTGTGGCATCGATCACATCACGGTGCTCGGGGCCGCTTTGCTGCTTTCTCACACAAACAGACAACGGCTACACCACTACACACGCAATCGCCATCTTGGATCTGCTACTGCTATACCCTCACCTCATCGACACTACCTACTTAGACAAACACTCTTTAGCCAGATGTTTGTATTTATACTGTTATATAGATATGCATGAGTATTAATCACGATGGTGCTTTGTTAGGCAATTATTGCTATACTAAAATGAATTTATGAGTAACTTCTGTTGGACTTCTCAGATGATGTACGATGAATCCATTATAACAGAATACTATACGGCACTTCTATAAATGTGCTTTAAGTGTGACAAAATTCAAGAGGATCGGAAATTTCGCAGTACTACGGCCCGGGGCCGTGGCGGAGTGCTAGTTCCAGAATCCAGAGGGGATCCTTCCCCTCGGAAGAAATATATCCGGATCGAGTAATCTACCAAATCATTACACAGTAGGCTACCTTACCAGCAAAAGAATGGTTCAGTAGAGTATGATGCCTTTGCCAACTGTCCAGTGGACGCGAGAGAATGCGATGGCAGTGGGCACAATGTATGTCCGGAAAGGTCGTTGGAGTGCGTGGCTCGCGGCTAGCGACGTGCGACGTTGCCACTTCTCCGCTCACTCCGCTCTATATATAGGATAATGCCGAGGTAATCGGTGTTGCCACTTACACGATACACCCGTCGCTCATAGCAGCTCAACGCAACACAACAGATGTGCGATCCTTCAATAAACAGAGGCAAATGCTACAAGGCTGAATGTGGACTTTCGTTTGGGTGATCCCCAAGCTCAAACTGAAAAAGTAATTACAAGAAGATAGATGGATGCAAAAAATAACATGTGGTTTGCCGATATACTTCATACTTATTGGAGGTGGCATGCAGAAAGGATTACAGATTTGGGCGGCCAAGCAAATTAGGCTCATAAAACGTTAAACTAGGCCCTGCTGTTTTCAGAGATGACAAAAGGTTGCTCAGCTACTTAGACCTACTGTACAAAGATGTTGTTCAAGAAGTACTATATATAAGCATAGATGTATTAGAGAGTAGGACTAATCATATAGATTAAATAGTACCTATTTCTTTAGTCTATGTACTGTATGTAAAGTTCAAGTGGAAGGTGGCAAATTCTGCCAAAGTCCAAGACTGACAAGACGCAGACCAAACTTGTTTACCGGATAGGAATGGCCAATAACACATAACGGAGAACTAAGAGATATAAATTTGAAAGAACATGGGATACTGAGCCAGCCTTATCAATGTCAAAGACATGAATGCTAGCTAGCAAGATCCTTGTATCTCTTAAATTTGGATCTTCGATTCATAGATACACATTGAAAACCAACGTTCTATTTTCATAATTCACCTTCATGTCAATTAGAACGCAATAATACATGGAATTGTTGATCAGAATGGGGTGACAAAACCAATCCAACGTCCTGGAAAAGCTCGAAGGCTCTTTAGTTAAAGTGACGCTGGAATGCATTCTATCCTCAAATTCAAAGAACGTTCTCGAGTCACAGACTATGAATGAAATTCGAAGTCATATTCAGAAGATGTGAAATCTATCTTGTACATCACAGGGGTCGATAAAACATTGCGGGCAAATTAGAGGAATGCCCAATGTGCCTCCAACGTTAATAGAAAACTAAGAGTTGCGATCTTTAAAAATCAGAGCAAATGGTCGAATCGCAGAGGCTGTGTGAGGTTCAAAGTGAAATGCAGTTGTGTAAACCCACTGAAATCACAGAAGGCGAAGGATCATCTGGTGAAAGGTTTCCAGGGATTCTGTAAGTTCAAAGGAGGACATTGAGAGGCACAACCCTAGATTTAAAATAATCTAGTCAAATCGCAGACATTAGAAACACGTTTTAAGTGTAGTATAAAGACGACAAACCCTAAGGAGTGTCTACAGTACACCTGCTGCAATAAGTAGAGCTATCCAGCAGCCAGACTGGATGTGAGAAGTGAGTTTGAACTGAGATGTCGTGGTCGCAGGACGCGGTGACCAGGTTCTTGCCCCCAGCTGACCTTGCGGTGACCACCCCCTCTCCCCCACACACTGATAAATCGCCGCGTATCTGTCCGCTGCCCACAACCACAGCCACCACGTCGTCGCCATCTTGGCCGAGCACACGACACACGCCGCAACCGCGAGTCTGACAACTGTATACACCGTCTGTCCACCCGTGACGGTGTTTGCGTTAGCAGGAGGCAACCAAACTGTTACCTTAATAGGTGTTGCTACAACATAATCGGGCCTAGAGGAGATTTTGCCACTAATTAGGACCTGACGTTATAGAGATCAAATTTGTGCATACCATAGCAGTTCACAATAAACCTAGTCACTCAGCCACAAGTTCATTTTGAACATCGAATACTCTGGTGACAAATTCACCAAGAGACCGTGAGACCACTGTCAGACTGTATACTTGGTAGCATACAGTATTCTATAGTCTGTGCTTGGTAGTGTTCCTGAAGCAGGTGGAGGCCACTAACGGACTACGGACTACGGTCACTCACACTCTCACGACCACAGCTCACCTATAACAGGCCTCTCCTCCCACCCTTCACTGTCGCGGACCAAGGTTCGCACGCCTAACTCAACTTATACACCAACAGCCATCTTAGATAATCATCTTGCGCAGGAGAATCATTAAAAACAGCACGAGTACGCGAACCACACACATTTACAAGTAACTCGATTTTTTCACGTTAACATACGTGCTTTATATAGGGTTGAATCAGCATACAGTAAATACGCAGCTAGGTGGCGTCTCCATCTCAATGATTGTTAATTGACAATCGATCAATCCTGTAAATGAACACAATGACAAATGTGATACTGTAATCATTTTTTCTCATTCGCTGTCTTATCATCACAAGACCTTAGATGCAATACTCGATTTCTGTGTTAAACCTTGATGGTGTCGAATCAAATAGAACATGCGTTTTACGACTACTATGTTACGATTGAACTTCTAGAGAGTGAGCTTAAACATATATTATCTGAGACTCAAATCCACGACGACTCAATAAAGTCCCTCAACACGTTGGTAACTATAATCTAGAAAAAATGTCTATTTAAATTTAAAGGAGCAACACAGAAGAGCGAGTTAATGTCAAAGCAGGTCACACGGACTACAAACTCTGCAGTCTTCTATGTAATGGTGGGATTGGAACAACGTAAACGTGGCCGACCGTGTTTCCACTGGACCATTCGCCATTTTGTATTTGCATCCACTTCCCAATCGGTTTTCACCGCTGCACGGCGCGGCGTGGCGGCGGCGACCGCTTTCATAACCTCATTTAGCGGTGCCAGACAAGAAATGTTGGTAAAGAAGCACAACCCGCATGATACAAGATTCATGATTTTTAAGTTAAGTAGAATACTCTTTCTATGTAGAACCACGTAGAACTAATGTAGTCTATCGTGTATTTTATGTGGGGGCAACAGGAAACCACTTATCGCTGACGAGGACAAACAAGTGATATCGCAGTGACTGCACTACCACTACCAACAACTAGCGCATGCAACTGTAGCAGAAATGTAACCTCTTGCAGAAGTTCATATTCAATACGGCCATCTTCTCAAAAGTCAACGTCTTTCGTATTTCGATTCGATACTCTACTCGAAAACTACACATTTCGGTGGATTTTCGTCTTTTTGATCGGTTCATAAGTAAAACTAAACGTAATCTTCTGACTTCTTCAAAAGCATTTGGTAATTAAAGACAGCATCCAGTGTCTATTTATCGGAGGGGGAAACGAATATATAGTAATGTAAGATGATTTTCCATCTGCCCTAAATCGGTATAACTAACTAGATTACTCCACACCGCTTAACGTTATTTAAGACTATACTAATCAACAGTCCTCTAATCTAAATTGGGAACCTTTATACCTTCCACAGTGACTCAAACGATAAACCAGATACTTACTTGAGTTAGAAAAAACCACTTGGTAGCACAACTATCGAGCAATAATACTTCATCTAGACTCGCCATCTCAACGCGCTGGCCGTCACGAGTCATACTGACTACTGAGCGTCAACAAGTGTGTGTAGTGTGTATAGCTTCTCTGGACGAGTAGTGAGCAATGCTAAAGCGACCTGCTCTGCTCCAGTGCTCCACCGTGCGTTCATGTCGGAGCTGCGAACAGCATCCAGTCGGGAGTAGCGCTCTGCTTCTATCGTCTATCCATGTCTGCTTGTTATATTAAATTGTTAACATCCATGTTCAGAGCATTGATATAACATAGATGAGAAATAATACAAAGCTATTATTGTTGCTCTCATCGATGGTCGGGACGGGATCCAACAGGGTAACAGCGCAACTCCGACGTAAGCAGACCCAAAGCTCGTCTGTATTATCTCTCGTTGCTAGGATCACATTCGCTACTCGCTTACTACAATAAGCTATGTAAAATCAAGAAGCAAACCAGCAAAATCTCCTTTGTAGTTTGCAGTCGCCAATCGCATATTCTGCTTGATATTACACTAAACAATAACCGCTGATATCGTGCAAGTGTTCTGCTTCTGTTTTGTGGACGACAAGGGATGTGGTGAAGTAAAGAAAATAGTGTCAAATCTGTAATCAGAATCCTGACAGACCTGTGAGAATGGCTTACCAACTCTTGTACAACTGATGGAATTCACCGTAAATTTCCACACATCGTCATACGGTCCTTCCATATTGAATGACAACAAGCAACGAAACGAGTAGTTGGATTTGACGTAATGAGTGCCACACAACATTCCCTAACAACACTCAGCCCTTTAAGCTCTGCGACGCAATAAGTATGCATAGTGCATGTTCATGCAGAATGAAAATCCATTGAAATTCACAATGTTACAATTTAGTTGTAAAATCTTATTGGATAGTCGACATTTGAATGGAAACTCACCCGTGCGCCGAGGAAACGCGCTTCCAGCAGTTCCTGCTTACGGGGGTCCAGGGCAGCTTGGAAGTGGTGTTCCATCTTCACGCCAGCGCCTGCCACAAACAGAGAGCAACACATGACCAAGGCTTCATACTGCAGTACAACTAACCGTGGACCCAGCGAACTGATCATTGTACAGTGTAAGTGAGCATTATTACAAGGAAACACATGCAGAGAAATTGTGTACTCTAAAGCTATCCTACAACTAAACCAAAATTTTGGTATTTGTGATAGATCGATCAACTCCATTACTTTGAAAATGGGGGGCTCTTTTTCAGTTAAAGTAGATAAACGTATAAATAATCGTAATAACAATTACTATAAGCACTTGCGTAAATTTAAACTGACCGCACATGGTAAGAGTCATGAAAAAACTTGCGGACAGTAAATATGGTGCCAACGTTCATGTTCTTGATACATTTATGTTCTCAGATTTAAAAGGTAAAGAGTTAAGGTTAGTTGACATATCCAATAAATCAATCCGGAATTTTAATATTGCAAAATTGTTCATTACATTAAAATGCATAATTAATAATTTTATGCATCACTGCTTATGACTTTCTCTCGTCTTATTTTATCCTCAAAGAGGTTTAATGCATAACACTTTCCTTACATTTCTAACTAATTATCATAAGTTCTAGAGTCAAAGGTTCTAGTAAAAGGGAATAGCGTTAGGCAGAAATCGTTAAATTCATATTAAATAATCATGCCTCCAACTTTACAAAAATACAATAAAATATATGTTATAAATTGGTTTAGCAAGATGATATTACACTGCAATAGTACAGTAGGCCTACTGTATACAATTTCAGCATTTAATACCCGTAGAATAGAAGATAAGTTAGTAAGGTAATTGTCGCCGTATTTGGCCTATGCAGGCATGGCAGACATTTACAGTGAGTTTTTAGCCGAACGCCAAAAGCTCCCTGACGAAATAAAGTTTTTACAATTTGTTTTGAAGGGGTGCTCAGCCTGGGGCGTGACGCGATCAATGCGTGACGTCACTATGTGGGTCACACCGTCTTTTGACCGCCGCCGCCGCCGCGCCGCCCCTGTCCCGGCCTCGGCGCTATACACACAGCCACAGCCGCACTTCCAGCTCCAGCTACATACTGTGTAGTAATGCAGCATTCCCTGGATAATCCAGATCAGTATCAATATTGATCCATTACATCTTTGTTCCTTCACATAAAACCATCCTTGCTTCTAATTCGATATTCCCTGATTAGCACGATCAGTCCTACTAAAAAAAATCGTATTTCAAGTTCTACGTCTGCAGTTCACTTGTATATGCATGAAGGAGACACACCCCAATAGAAGTTGGCATTAACAGTTTTCTGGATTTCCAGTTTAAAAAGTCTACTCACGAATGGAAAATTCAAACAGTATTTAAAAAGGGGATATCTGTGGTGTTTTCTTTATAATTCGTCAAGTCTTTAATAGAACTTCTTCAAAATCTTCAAAACACCGCAACAAATTATCCCCCCCATGTAAACGGTTAACATGTAACGGAGTGAAACATTAAACTACAGTATCAGTAGATCGAGCGACAGGACAGGTGTAATGTGTAACATGGGTAATGACAATAATCGTCCAACATATCATTAAAGCGAGTAGCCGTTTTGTTAGAGCGAGTAACCGGTAAATCGACGAGGATGTTTTGTATCAATACTTTTTTCAACATCTACACGGGTTTTTTGATCTGCCTAGTTTCATTGGAGATTACTGTACTAAATAACTATAGAACAACAATGGACAATTCGTACCTTTAATTGAGTGCAGTGGCTTAACACAGGACCAAAATTCAGTAATTAAATAAACTTCTGAACTCTTTGTATTAATTGTAATTTTTTAGGGTACAAAACTGTTTTTGTCCTAGACTTAAGCCATTGATCAGTCAAAGGTTTAATTCCTGAGCTACGTCAACCCAAGTAACTGTAGGTAAAAATCCAGGTAGCCCGGGGTTTGCTAATGTTCAACAACAATTCCTATCGAGATTTTGAAAAAGAATCAAGTGTAAAATTTAGCTGAACGATAAGTATGATTAATCACTACAGGATCTCAAGTGGCTCTTTTTGACGTGGATTTAAGATTAACTCGTATAAACTCTTCCTTTAATAAAAAAAAAGCTTCCTTCACCACTTTTCAAATTTCTTTCTCAAAGTAAAGTGGCATTTTTCTCAAAAGCAAAGTTTAACCCCTGGTGAAAACTTTTGGGCCTCGAAATAAACTCATTTTTTTACAATTATCAATGTTTAATACTTCACATAAATTTAATTTTCATCTTGTCTGCCTTTAAAATGTGTGTTGCCAGTGTGGCTTCCGTCTCATCAATGTTATCTAACTTATAAGTCGGGGAGTTGGAACAAAGATTCTAATAACCAAGTTAATTTAAATATCTATTTAATGGGTTAGTCTAATACTACTCAATCTCATTAAGTGCAGTAATATTCTGTATAAACGTTACATATTTATACAGTACCTCAGAAAATATTATTAAAAAATTGTGTGTATTTCAGAATATTTCTAAAATAGCTTAACTTTCGATGACACTAATCGTGTGTGTCGGACTCGAAACTCGAACTCAACGATTAACTTAAGTAAAACAACAATGATTCACAATCAATGTCAACAATCGATTACTACTTTAATTACATCTGCTTGTTCTATTAACTTATTCTAATGATTGTACATTTAATTGATTGTGAACACACTGCCATGTTTAGTTACACAACAAAATAATGAAACAGCTGATTTCAATATTATTGGCTGATTATTTTGTCCTAGGACCAGAATGAGCTTATCGTTCAGTGTAGGCATCGATCTAACTTATTAGACTAAATACATAGACGAGTGTAGGAGCAGTACGACGAAAATAAGGCACCAATGAGAAAGCTACAGTCGTCTATCCAACTGAGATGATAGGTTATCAATAAGCCTTAAGTATTATAGGACTCACTAAATACATAATAGTAACCATTAGTTCCTCTGATGAACCTCATATCATTTATTTAAGCCTCATAAATAACTGCATAGCTCGTGTTCTTTATATGGGAGTTTCGCTCTGTAAGCGCCGTATACATATTCTGACTGTTATAAAACTGTGATTCCCCTATAATCTTCTACAATGTTACATTTAACATTTATTATCCTCATTCTGTGAAATACACTTGCAGATCTCACGTATAAGAAATATTAATTGGACTAAAAAAGAAGATTCCGAACAGCGCGTATTACTAAGGATATGTTTGTACAGTAATAGCAAACATAATTTAACGAATGATAAAAATCATCTGATACAGAAACTGTGATAATTTTATAAAACGTTCTTATTTCATAATTATCTGAAATTATCTTGGGATTCTGAAAGTACGTACTATACAGATTTGCTTCTTTCCTTTTTCCAATATCAATTTTACCTACAAGTTTATAAATTATATTAAAATATGAATTGTACAAAAGCTTAACTCAATAAAACTGTTTAAATGTATCTGTGTAAAACACATAATTTATATATATATATATACAATTATTTCTCAAAAAGACTATATTTATCGTGTGATTCAAATCATATGTTTTGTTTGTTTATACATTTTTCAAAACAAACTTATAATTGTTACAGTCCACTGCTACCTTCAATAAACATGTACTAGACATTTTCTATCTTTTATTTTACAATTTAAATCACTTTCACTTTACAGTATCTAAATTAAAAATGGATCTATACTTGTTACATAAATGTTATACAGACTGAGTAGTCATTCGCGACACAAACATTATACCTTTAAAACTATCTCAATAAAATGTGATGGCAGTAACACATATAATTGACAGCGTTATAAACACATGACGACTACAGTGTTTAGCAGAGGCAATATAACGAATGTAATCATAGCGTGAATGATTTATTTATCATATTAGTTACGCGAGTTTAATAGTGGAACATTTAATAGCGGCTTCATAAACGTGCGCCAATATCAACACTCAATCGATTGTGATGTTGTTAACATTATAAGCTATTGCGTTGCTTAACGCTTTTTACGAGAAATTATCACGGAAATATTATTATTAACTGTATGTATAGCTTACTAACATTAAGTTAGGGATATGCGTACACTTTTGGTAGAATAGACGTATTGACAGAATATTGTTCAACTACAATATAACGGTATTTGATTTGCTAGGGATTTATTTTGTAACTGTAACTGAATCTTCCGGTAGTTTCTCAACTTTTATATTTGGAGAGGAAGCCATAGTTATCCCATAAGAAGGAAATCTTCGGTACCACTTTTGTTTATCTTAATGAAAATTATCGTTGGGTAAACTATTAAATTGTACTGCAAAACAGTGGTTCTCATTAAACATATGTAGAAGTATAATGTAGGCATTCAAGATATTATATTGTCCTATGTGTTTCATGTGATATTATCATGTGATTATGTTGGAGTAGTTGTGTGTTTACGTTTTGAGCGTGATATTAATAATACTGTACGGTTGAATTGTCGAGAAAGATGGTTAAGAAAACCTTATCTCTCGATACTTGTAAAAAGGATCAAGTGTAAAATTTGTGCTTAACCAATGATTATAGGTAATTGATTACCTGAGGTAATCAAATTACCTGAGCTTATAGGTAATTGCTATACTAAACAAGATTCAAGACGTGTCATGTTATAAAGACGTTCATGTTATCTTAAACTGCACAATCCACCATGTCATCGACGACGTTAGTATAAGTTCCTCATTCCGAAAACATAATAATCAATCAATAATGATGTAACTAATAATAATATTGTATGCATGCATAATAATGTATGATCCCTCCGCCTCTAATTTGACCGGCACAAGTGGATTGGTTTGCACAGGAGAATTCGAGCAAAAACGTTTGGGCCCTGATTTAGACAGTCTATCTTAAAATGGACTAGCTGCTGTAGTCAATAGTATTTATTTGAAAATGGGTTGCTGTAAAAAATCTTCTTCCATAATTTGTCAAACTTTGATCGTTGGACTTAACATAAAATATGAACTAGTTTGCAACAGGTTGCCTTAGTGCGGC